GGGGGGGGGGGGGACTTGAGCTCGTAGGCCCAAGCTGGGGGAAGGGTTTTAGACTAGAGGATGTTCCCCCTCCCAAATGAGATTTTTTAAAGGACGAACGTCTGGATGGCAAGAAATGACATTCTCAGACTGTGACAGGCATGTGTTGGCTTGGCGTGGGCCTAGCTTATTCTTAATCTTATATTTTTTTTAGTCCCACTGCCCGACGAGCTCTGTCCAGGGGAGGGGGAAGGGCGCTTGACCTGTCCGGTAGGGGGACTTCAGCCCCTGCTGTCCCCCCGCTGGCGCCGCCACTGCCCTTTAAACCTAGGCCTAGCCCACTACTACTAAACCTACTACCGCGCTGCGGTTTGGCGAGTAAGCCTAGCCTAGGGTCTAGACCTAGGCCCTACGCTAGGCCTAGGAGGACCAGGCCTACCCTACGCCGAAACGAGAGGGCCAGCACATAAATAATACACAGCCAGTCGGTTCAATACACAGAAGATTTGGCCAGGTCTGCATACACTTAATCGACTGAATTTTATAATATATAACTTTTGCGAATACATACTAATACCTAGCAGTTCTTTGCAGTCACTAAGCAGTAATAAAGTAATATTCGTTCTGCATATATTTCAGAAACACACACACACACCACTCTGTTGTTGACGGAAAGGTTAGTTGATTGTTGCCTGGCAAGGCCACGTGACCTTAGTTAAAGAGGGCGGGCTGTATCGCGAAAACTGCAAAAACCTACGAAAACCTAATGAAAACTTGTGTGGCTGTCCTGGATGAAAATACGACAGATCCCCTTCTCCAATAATACTGTAAAAGACCACCCTTTTTGCTACCCCGTTTTAACGCATATCTTTTATCATTAACTCTTCCCCCCAATTGAAGTCTCTCTTTGAAGACAAAATACCATGGTTTTGGTGGACCAAACTGAAAATGTTCCCTCAAATTAACCACTATAAAATAAATAGTGATGTTTATGCGATTATTGATTATATAATAAATTTTGTGACTACGACTTAAATATAGAAATATTAGCCAATGCCCATCAAAATATGACGTTTTGAGTGTATGTATGTGTGTGTATTTTTTTTTTCGGTTTTTTTTTTTTATTATTTTTTTATTTTGAATAACGAAAATGCTTTTTTTAGCTTTATTATTTTATTAAATATCGGACACATACACCAAAATTCAAATTACAAAATATAATAATATAAAATCACTTTAATCATTAAGACATAAAAATATACAGAATGGAATAAAGGAGAACAAATATTTACAAGGGATTCAATACAATGAAACCCTACATAATATTAAGTTTGTAACTGTGAAGCCTGAATAGAATATAATAAAACATATTTATGTGTTATTAAGATGGCCGGCCTACACATCTTTTTTATGTGAAAGCTGATGTGGGGCAGGGGGAGGCGAAGGTGAAGTGGGGGCCTCGAAGATCAGCTAAAGGGCGCTAATTCGCTATAAGTTAATTTTTAAGTGCTGGCTAACAACGTGACCATGATTTTTTGTGGGGGGAGGGGCACCTGGATGAAGCGAGTAATTTTTGGAGTAGGTGCCCCCCACACCCCCGCCATGAACCCCTAGTAGATACGCTACTGATTACATGGCCGAAAATGGCACTCTTTTAGACTGAAACTTTTAGTAGAATTTTTTTTTCTCAATATTTTTCAAATTTTGAAAAAATTTAGGAGAGGGCCGGGAGCACCACCCCCCCCCCCCGAAATCCGCCACTGTAACATAAAATCGATGGAATGGTTACTGAGATGGTTATGAAATGTACAAACAGATGCGTTTTTACTCGGTTTTGGTCTGAAAAAGACGCACCGAACTTGGAACAGAGCACAAGTGGGCAGCAATTCATGACAGTCATTCGTAATTGTTGTTCTTTCCACTCGCTTTGAAAAGTGGGTTTTTTACTATAGAGGATGTTAAAAAGTAGGGTTGGGCAGGGGGAGGCGAAGGTGAAGTGGGGGCCTCGAAGATCAGCTAAAGGGCGCTAATTCGCTATAAGTTAATTTGTAAGTGCTGTTTAACAACGTGACCATGATTTTTTGTGGGGGAGAGGGGCGCCTGGATGAAGCGAGTAATTTTTTGAGTAGGTGCGCCCCACACCCCCGCCATGAACCCCTAGTAGATACGCTACTGATTACATGGCCGAAAATGGCACTCTTTTAGACTGAAACCTGAGTAAAAAATTTTTTTCTCAATATTTTTCAAATTTTGAAAACATTTATGGGAGGGCCTGGAGCACCCCCCCCGAAATCCGCCACTGTAACATAAAATCGATGGAATGGTTACTGAGATGGTTATGAAATGTACAAACAGATGCGTTTTTACTCGGTTTTGGTCTGAAAAAGACGCACCGAACTTGGAACAGAGCACAAGTGGGCAGCAATTCATGACATTTTTGTTCTTTCCACTCGCTTTGAAAATTGGGTTTTTTACTATAGAGGATGGTAAAAAGTAGGGTTGGACAATTTATATAATGTGTCCCCCACCCCCTCCCCTGTCGCCCACCGATCGACGCCCATGGCAAGAGGTACAATTTCGAAAGACCTTTCGAAACAGATCTGCTCCCTTGGATGGAACACATCATTGATGAAGTTAGAGGAATACTATTAATGAGAGCGTACATTCTTTACCACCATTTCCATGCGTTGACATGACTGACATATAAAATATAACATCATAAATAGAGAGCTATGTATACAGGTACGCGGGTCAAAATTGCGTATCCTGAATTATACCATGCTAATATTTTTGTCCTGAATTGTAAAAAATACAATTGTTTATCGTTTGTTTTTTAAACCGAAGCAATTTTTTAAATTAAATAGTCACGTCATTCAATGAATAAATCATACTAGACCAATACATACAGCAATCAAGATTACATAAAGACGATGACGTTTATTCTTCCTGAGTGTCGATCAGGAATAATAATATGAAACACGGAATAATAGCATCCAAATTAAAAGTTTGTCTCTCTTTACATATCCTTATAGATACATTACTTTGAACATTAAAGGTACATCTGGCAATATTGAATTAATAGATCACACAAGGCATAGTATGTTTTTTTTTTAAGCCGGTGACATCAACTTTATTAAAATTAACGCTAAATCATTCTTATCGATAAAATCGAATATATAATCTGCACGTAACATCTCACCAGTTAACTTCAATAACAGGGTTTCATTCAAAACAAACAAGCAAACAATAATTACTGTACACAATCGTGTAGCCAGTTAATAACTTGGACAAACGTATTACTCTAAATCGCCATTTCACAACCACAAAACATCGATTTAATAATGTGCGTGGTAAAAACATATTAAAAAATAGAACAGATTATCAACAAACGTAGACTTTCAGTCAATATTGTTCTGAATTACAGTCAATTTACACAATAGCAATAATGTTAGTGGTAATTAGTAATCTTGGGAAGAAAATTTCTAATTTGAGTGTTGGGTAAAACGAGTATGGACTGGCTACCAAGAAATGTTTTACTAAGAAAAAAATAATAATTAACAACATACAGTAATTTTACATCCATTCTATAAACATTTGAACTATTAATTCGGGTGGGGCAGGCATCATCTCATATAATTCTCCTGACGCAAACGCCATGGGAATTATCTTATTGTAATTATTTACTTATTGTTATTATGATTACTATTATTTTAAGCAACCGTAATCCAGACTAACGTATGTACCGTATTATTTTATTTACAGTATTATGAATTTTTTATTTTATTTTATTTATTTATATATATTATATATATATATACATATATATATATTTATATGTAAAATTTATTTTGTCATTATTATCATTGCTGTTATTATTGTTATTATTATTATTGTTATTATTATTATTATTATTATTATTATTTGTTTTAACTGGTGGTCATGTCTTAAAGTTTGTTTTACAAACTTATTTTTACCTCCTACCGAATTCCTTTTTTCTCTCTCTCTCTCTCTCTGCTTTTTTTTAGAAAATGTAATTTTGACTGTAATATTTATCGTTAATTAATTCATATTTTATATGTGTGTGGTAAATAAATAAAAACAAACAAACAAATTCTTGATTTCCCTTTAAGACTATGGTGTGGAAAAAGAATGTCACAGGAAGCGAAAGCTTTTAAACGGGCCCTTAAATTATGATATGTTCAACCATGGACCTAATAGGCCCATGGTTCAACTAAACAAATATAGCATATTTATTAATGTCTGGCTTCGTTATTTATTTATTTTGCTTGTTTTGACTTGTATAATTTAATTAAAATTTTGATATTTAGGCTTTTTTGAAGTGCAATTGTTAATTGAGCTTTTAATACTTTTTTATTATTTAATTTTTTTTTTATAATGCATATTTTGCTATCGTCTGATTGATTTCTTTGTAATTTCATTTTTATATAATAATTATCTTATATTTTCATAGCTATTTTTATTATTTATGTTTTATGTTTAGAAAGTTGGAGTTGGAGTGGAACACCCTTTCCGGTGATAGTAGTTTTTGGACATTCGTCAGCCTCCTTCTTTGTCCGTGTCTTTTGTTCTGTTGTTGTAATGCTGGAAGGAATAACATGAAATAAAATATCAAAAGTGGGAAAAGTTATCTTAAATACAACAATAAAATCAAAACAAGTGAATAACAATGGAAGAACACGGAATCATCTTAAGTAATTGCACGAGATCACAAATGATACAATTGTTAAGGAAACATGTATTCACGTCATGCTTATAATTACATATGTAAAGGTTTTTGAGTCTTCTTTTGAAGATATTTAAAATTGAACTAGATTTAAAATATACCGTGAAATGTTCTTTACTGTATAAACTAAAATATCTACATATATCATTCCAAACTTTGACCTTTCATAATTATGATTCCTTTTTGACCCATGGCCCAACTGCATTTTTCTTTTAAGCTGAGATTATCTATTTCTCGTCTCATGAGGCCTGAAAGAGTCATAGGCCTACCGGTAGGTCTGGAAAAAGTCAGTTAAAGTTGATGGTACGGTACTTATCCTTTATTATACTTTTACATGAATACTGAAATCTTTTGTCAATAAATGTCATAAACTGCGAGGTATTTGTTTTAGAGAGGGGTAAAAATGGTGCTGGTAATGAGTGTTTAATACAATTAATAATGGGTTTTTTTTCTGTAAAATCAATGTGGTTTATATTTTATCGTCGGTTGTGCCGATGTTGTTATACCATGAAGGAAAATAATTCCTCCACGTTTACACCATGAATTATTCCTCCACGGTTATACAATAAGAAATGTCTGAGAGAATTAATGCATTACAAATGGTAAGACTTTCTGTAAAATTCTGTTCCCCTCAAACATTCTCTTTACTTGATGTGGGTAAATATTATGATTATTATTTTATGAATTTTAATCTAAATTATAGTAACACAACTTTTTTTTAAGCTGAAAGAACCAATCGGTCATGATTGTTATTGTCACGTGGATAGCGTATTGCGAATTAACGCACTATGGTTTAAGTTAAGCCTGGATTCCCTTGCCAGTCGAATGAAAATAACGAAACGAACCAATAAAATACGGCTATACCAGCCTCTTTCTGGCATTCGCTACGGTACAGAATTACAAACAATGGCAACAATAGGCAATATCATCTCCCTGAATATTTCCTAATCAACCTGCAGCTAGACCTACTGAGGTGATTTTAATTGGTAATAATGAAAACGACTTAAAATCATTATTGCATGCAAGATGGCATTTTTAACTATGATATGTCTTCTGTCCCTACAGCAGAAGAATCGTGCAAGTAATAAATATATAAAAAACAGATAATTATAATTATCTAGGTATATTTATCTCTAGATTTGTGTTAGATAATCATCATATTGATTAAGTCATCAAAAAAGGAAATAGATTTTACTTGGTAATAATGAAATCAAGACTTAAGGAACAAGAAGATCTTAACAGAATATGCTGAATTTGGAAGTCAATCTACAATCAGCTATATGCATGTAGTGACTAGATTTTTACTAAAATTCCAAGAAATGTTGCCAAAGAGGCCCTTTATAGAGATCTAGGATGGAATTATTTATGAATCCATCCAGACAAGCATTATAGACTTAAATGTAAGAACATAGGTGGCCAAGATTAATTTTTCAAGGTATTTGAATTATATGATGTTTCTAAGTAGAAATGGTTAAATAACATTACGAATTCTCAATAATTTTAATTTATTAGATACGGTAGTTCCATCTTAACTAATCATATACACTAAGGATTTAGATAAATGAATAATATATGAAATAATATAATAATATTAATTTACATTAACTATTGTCAAGTAAAATATTGCATAATCTATTTAGACCGATGCTGGCCATGTAAAATCAAACTGGTTTGATCGTGCTCAAACAAAGTCGTCACTGAATGACTACATTAGATACAAATCTGAACTTTTTTGAATCATACCTCCTACACAAATGTAACTTTTCAGAAGTGGCTCTTAAATTTAAACCTCGATCAAATTCACTTGATTTAGAAGATCGAAAAGAGGCCTGGTAAAATTTAAATACAGGCTTTGTAAATTATGTAACAATTGCTGTAAAAACAGCAGATCACTTTGTATTTGAATGCTGTAAATTTATAAATAATATTAGAGATGTAATTTTCCAGGAACTTAAAAATGAACTTAATAAATACGACCTTGATATTTTAGGATATGTTTACCTCACGTTTAGAAAACTTTAGACATCATCTTTTCTTTGACCTGTCTATCAATAATGAATTTCCCCTTAGATAAGTTTTTATTGAATCTGATTGATGCAAGTTGTATTTTTTTTAAATATTCTAAAACTATTTTTATATTGCTTGGATGAGGAGCAATGAGCTATTATACAAGAACCTGCAATTCTTAAAGAACATCCGTTGGACATGGTGTTGAATCTGTCCTGGCCCGTTAACGTGAGCAGAATAAAATTTGACATTCTGGTCATTTGAAATGATTACTGTATACAGGTTTTTGTGTAGCTCGGTGTATTTCGTTTCATTTACCCTGTTTTAATTTTTTATTATTATTATCTTTGATAAAACAATTTTGTATAACGCACCACACATGCGTCAACATTTTCTTAATTATTAGTGAGAAGGGATAAAACATTATAATAATTTACTTGGTTTGTTTTAAAGATTGTTGTTTATCCGTATTTTAGTTTAAGTATTTAGTGCAAGTTGCATAATTTTCTTTCTGCTTTCCTTTGTTTATAATTATTTTATAATTATCTTGGGTGCACCATCAAAAGAATCAGTGCCGCTGACCTGAAAGTAAACCCATGAATAAATCGTATCCTATCGTACTGGCGCATTTTCCAACTTATAACTTTATTACTCTTATTGTCAGCTAATTTACAACTATCGAATTTCATCTCAAATCATTCACTTTCTAAACAGATTTACCAAATTCATAGTGGAGAGATCAAATGTCGTGTCAAAGGACACAAGCACAGGCCATTACTTACCGTTATTTACACTTACACATAATCTTAATTTATATTAATTAAAGTTGAAACCCCAGACCCCCGTGATTCTAATTTGCTTTTTTTCTAATTTATACCGCCATGCTCGAATCAACCAATGTAAATTATTTCTTAATAAAGTCCAAAAATAACCACACACAAAAACATATTCTACAGCGCGATTTCTATAGCAGTTGGTAATTACAGACTGATTGTTATTATTACATCGATGAATGAACAAAAAAAACCCCCGGTACGATCGCCAAAATTAGTAGAAGACACTGCATTAGTGTAGATTGTAATTGGTCTACTTCAGTGCTTAAATAGTGATTTCATTATTCATCACTCATCTGATAATAAGTTTAATGAAGTGTGCAATCTACTAGATAACAAGCATAGATGGTTCATTTTGTTTTCAACATTGAAGTTTTGATCTGCAAGATCTCTGGTGCTGATTTTCGTCCAGCTTGTCATTTGAATTATAGGCTACAATATGATAGGAATTATTTTCATATGTTTGTTATCTGGTAGGTATGCTGTTTATGATTGTTTTAACTGTTGTATCGCATTTTCTTCTAGTAATATAGTAAAAGAATGAGGATAGGTCCATGTAAGACATTTTCATATTGTATTTATGTAATAACATTTCAAATGCAACTGCTTTGGCTCGCTACGTTTAGGATGGAATTAAATTTGCGATGCTAAAAACGTGGATTTAAAAAAAAAACCCGATTAATTTCAGAATAAGAAAGTATAATACATACTCAAGTATACTGAAATACATAAATACATGATGGCTGTTTACTCACGGTATAGAGAGACGTCTTGAGCTCGTTTTGAATGGAAAAAAGCATATAATTTTTTTATACTGTTAACATTCGAAGTGTTGCTATTCGGAAAGAGTGTAATTTCACTGTTGCTTGCTTATTTCCACGGATCGTCCCAAACAACAGTATACTTGAGATACAGACAAGCAGACATTTACAAAAGAGGCAAAAAGTCAATGTAGAATGCAAAATATCATTTAAATGACGAGGTATAAAAATTATACCATAATACGTAGTGTGCATTTTGTAAAATTTAATGCGGAAGTAAATTAATGTCATACAAAATGTAATGCAATTGCGAATTAAGTTATACATCCTAACAATGTGAACGTATATCAGCTGCTAGCTACGTAGCTTTAAAACCCTAATCAACCCCCGATGACGAGGTAAAATGTAAAAATTATAATATTGTACACTTAGTGTCCATTTTGTAAAATGTAATGCAGAAGTAAATTAAACAAATGCATTGTGAAGTTATAAATCCTAACAATGCGAATGTATAATAATCAGCTATAAGCTACGTAGCAATGGCGTAGGGATGGGCATTGCAGCCAGTGTGCAAAGCACTGGGGCCAAGGCTGTTTAGGGCCCATTCAATAATAGGCCTAACAATAACACAGTAATTTAAAATATTAAGAATAAAACGGTTTTAAAGGGGTAATTATTGATTACTGTGTTCATTCCAATTGTTTACTTTTACGTGCCACCAATTTTCTTTATTATTCGGACCTTCCTGTTGGGAGTTTCCCCTACTCCACAATGGCCCTTGTGGATCCCAGGCCTCACAACCCAAGGCGTCATTTTGACGCATTTAATGCACTGGGGCCCGTTCTCACCTAGCTATGCCTTCGAAAACGCTTGTGGTCTACTTTAATCATAGTAGAACGTAAAATAATTTTATTTTTAAAATGATGATGATGATGATGATGATGATGATAATGACGATGATGATAATAATACAGTAATAATATTTAAGCATTTATATAGTGCTCTTTACCGGAGACTCACAGCGCTTTAAAGTATGAACTATGGAAAAGGTGAGTTTTTTAAGAAGAAATTTGAATTGAGAAACAACATAACATTATGCCTACAATACAATTCAACACCAACTATTATTATGGGTAATCAATCCGTTAGTGGAATGTAGACTTAACGCCAATAATATTAACAATGCATTTAAGAACACCGGCATGGAGTCTGATGAGGCTAACGTTCCGGGTGTACGGTAAGAATGGCCCCGGAAAAAATGGCCCCTGAAAAAATGGCCCCGGAAATAAAGGCCCCGGAAAAAATGGCCCCAGTAAAAATGGCCCCATATGACAGGTAGGTAAAAATGGCCCCAATAATCAAATTCTGTATTAAAACTGATTTTCTTGATTAAATATATGCATTTTTTTATCTTAAATAATTTAGTTATTAAAAGGAATCTAACATCAAA